TTCAAGAAAGTTGACTCATGATGCCATTAATTTATAATATCATAATCTCACATTTTCATCAAATCGTGCAACACTAGCTTCCATCAGACAAGTAATGTTTAGAGGGGTCTAATAAACGGCTGATTCACTTATACACAAGCATCAAACCCAAAGGCTCTGCAGATTTAACCAGTACTCACGGATCCCAAAGGTCAAAGGGGAAGCAGAGGGGTGATGGAAGGCGGTCGCCATGGCAACAGCTCCCCGGGTCCTAAAAGGCGTAGGTTACGTTAGAGGCGGGAAACTTAAATACTTCGTCTTTTTCACCGTAGCGCCACTACATTTGTCTGTTCATCGTGAATTAAATAAACCAGCTGAATACCTACCCATTAGTCGTTTCATATCTACACAGAACTAACCTGCATTTTTAATACATAAATACCGAGTAGAGAGAACGACGAAAGAACGACTAACCGCTAACGGCTAATCGATAAACGGTTAGCATACCAAACCGGTTAGAGATCGTAACACTTAACCAAAATAAATTTCATTTACCAGTACATACCTTCTGATAGGTTACAGCAGCTCCACACATCAGCTAAATATTCGTAAACCATTAAATTATCGGCGTTTGTCAGTCTTCGGTGTCTTAACCGTGCTGATGACAGCTGGATCTGCCTCCAACGGCTGCCGGTGAGTCCTGCCCAGCAGCCCGGAGACTGTCACCGGATTGGCCGGAGCAACCGGACTTTAAACCAATCAAACGAAAGAGCCATGAGAACAGTTAGAACAACGTTAAAACACCAAAACACTCACTTTTAAGACCTTTTTTTTTTTTTTTAAAGAAAAGCCTTTTTTTTTTTTTGTTAAGACTTTATGTAATTTCAACTCAAAATAAATTCTTGTAAAACTATAAACAGCTATAGGATGTACATTAATTATTTAGTTAAGCTTAGTAGTGTTTGTCTGTTTCTATTCTGTTTTCATTCCCTCTAAATAATAATTTTAAAGTTGGTAAGAAATGGTCACTATTTTAAAAGGATCCATAAATCTTCCATTCTATCTGGATACAAAGGAAGGTCAAGGTATAATTTTTGTACTGTTTCGCTTTCTTCTGAATAAAAAATAGGAATAAAGAACTTTTAACATTTATGTATAAACAGTGCACTGTAAATCAATCTTTCCTGAATAAATTAAACCATGGAAAAAAATATTTTTTAAAGAATATTGTGTAAATCATTAAGTGATTATTAGTATTATCTTCAGTTTTTGCCCTCTGCTGCTCTTTATTTAATACTTAGGAGGTGTTTTATCTTGCAGCAATGATTAAGCAAGAATCTTAAAGTTCCTTTTGGGTTGCTGTCCTGCAGGTTTTAGATGCTTCTCTGCTCCAGCTCACCTGATTCTCTTAAAATGGATCCATTCAAAGCATTAAGTTCTGCCGAATTCTGACGATTTTAATATTTTCTAAAGCTTCAATGTGCTGCTGTTTTTATCTGATTCTGCGATAAACTCATATCTAATTATCTTGACAGTGTTCTGAACTCCTCCCCCTATTAGTTAAGCTTCTTAGGATGGAACTCCATCTCCCAGCATCCTTTGCCAGAAGCTGTGCAGGATTCCGGAGACTGTTTGTTTTTCAGAGACCAGCAGGTTTATTGAACCGTCTTTCTGTAACATGAAAATGCTGATCACACCGTGAGTGGTAGAAACTAATACAATACAATAGATCAGATGTTACGATCATAAATAAAACCACATTGATGGAATATATCTGGTTTATCTACCCTGAATGTGGTGTATTATCTCATTGTTTTACTTCATATGTTCATTTCTAAATACAGATATGAGCTGTTTTCAAGTAAGTGAAAATCGCCGCCGCATCAGACCAGGTAAACCAGTTTTAGCAGATTAAAGTCGAACAGGCAAATTCTCCCTGTCCTCCTAAAGCACAACTTTAACATGGATCTCTTTCAGAAATTGTTAAACCCTGCACTCTAGTGGTGCTGATGAGAATCGTTTGTGTTGAAGCAGAGAAACCTCTAAAGTCTGCAGGAGGGAGGCCCTGAAGGCTGGAGTTAGAATCCCGTGCTTTAAGAAGACAGGAGAGTCTTGAAATGAGGATCTAAGTGGATCTTCTTTGCCTTTTTCCTGTTCAGTTGTTGGGTTTGAGGCTCAGTTGTGTTGGAGAATCCAGGAGGAAGTTGTTTGCTCTCACTTTTCTTAATTTCTACTTCAAACTCTCACCTGTTAACACATTTTTGTTTTATTTTATA